TAGACGAAATAGGGTTTTTATATTATGCCCTCCAATTGACCGTTAGATGTCCGCAATAAGTCCTGGAATAATTGTTGAACTGACTCCCATTTCGAGCTGAAGAGCATTGTGTAGAGATTCGGACATTGACCTCGCCAGTATACGACGCCAAATTCATCTTGTCTATCTGTCAGTAAGCCTCATTAGAACAATTCTTGTAACTGTCGTTATTAAGACAATCTCCTTCGATTATTGTTGTAGTCTGATAAGCTTTCGTCTGTCATAGATCTGATATCATCAGGGCATATATGGAGCGAAGCTGGGTTCCGAAGAAACCCCCAATAGGTTGATGTTGGCATTAAAAAAGACAGGTCGGAGGGATTCATAAATTGGTCTCACGGGACACTAAATGAGGATTATTTTGGACTTGTGACTGCTGAATTGTTCGAAAACCTCGGCTCATCGCTTTGCGACCCCGGGTAATCCGTGCTAAGCTTACATATGTTATCTGACGTAGAATGTCAAAGCCGAGTAACATAATTTAAAAAACGTTTACCAAAAGCGCTAAAACCAGGGAGATGGAAGGCAGAAATCCTATCTTTCGATTATATGTAGGTTTTCGAGACTACCAGTAGAGCATTTTTAGATTAAGTGTATTTACCCTATTTCGTTTAAAGTGATAAGGGGACTGGTAGTTGTGGATCAGGCAAAGTTGTATTTGCTATGGCAGTCTATTACCTTACTTATGCCTTGTCTCTAACTAGGTTTTCGAGATGGGAATACATTTTGGGAAAGCATGGCTATGCGAAATTCAATCAAAATGTAAGACCTCCTTATTTCGTCATGGGAAAAATTCAACTACCAGTCACCTTATCACCTTAAACGAAATAGAGTAACTATACCTTATATGGAAATCCTATTTATTTATCTGAGGTTTGGTGTTTTTTGTGAATTTTTCGTAATGTTGGTTTCTTGTTCTTACCATGTCCAGCACATGACGGATAAAAGCTTAATGCGGAAACATCGGAATGTCAGGACGATGAGCCAAGGTCTTCTTGACGCAATCCAGAAGTTGCGAATCCAAAGCAATCCTCCCTTTGTCTTATTTAAGGCCAATTTACAAATCACTCCAGCCCTATGATTACGTAATGCCGGACACTATTCTAGCTAAGTTGAGCTTTGTGTGTGAGAGAGAAGATGACCTTAAGTAGAGCCATGACCAATAAAAGATTCATAGGGTTGTATCCTTTGTCCAGTTAGCTCAACACCCTCTCTATCAAGAGTCCATCAATTGAGCGCTAGTAGGTCTTATTTAAATTCTTACAGGTTTTCCTTAAATTCAATTTAAACTCTTCAACTCCTGTACAGCCACAGGGGCTGGATGGTCACAGGGCAAATGTGACATTCTCGAGAACCTGTCTATAAAATAAAAAGCATGCGTGTTTGCCATTTCAAATAACCACGTTACTTAATTAAAGAATAAGTAATGTCTTCAATTGCAATGACAAATACATATTTGCTTAATCTCTAACTCTGCTATAAATATGATTTTAGTGAGGCCCGAATTTTGCATTTACCCTGTGATCTTATAAAACCCATGGATGTATAGTGGAGTGGTAACGTTGCCACGATACTCATTACACGGTACCAAATTTCTTTGTAGGTGATAATAAGACAGAGTCGAGGTCGAAACTGCAGTCCATTATTGATAATATAATTTTTTGGTAGGAAATGTTAAGTGAAATTCAGTCATTGTGAGGCCTATTCATCTAATTATGGGAGATCTCAGCTATCAGTTGCTAACTCACCTAAATCGACTTAGGGTCACTTATTATAAATTTAGAAATGACTAATATTCTAACCGAAAATAACTAGCCTCATAGATTGTAATGGCAAATTCACACATGCCACATCAAAAAGTTCAATGCAAATGCTGGAACGTTTCATTTGTCATGTGGCCCAATGGCACCAGTTTTTGTGTAGCGAATTAGTAACTTGTGATCACGATGTGCACTACCGGGTTTCTAATCCCTCTATGGGTAGTAGTGAGATAGTGAAGCGAAGTTGAAACTGCAGTCCAAACTGGCTGGGGAAGCCTTATGGCAGGTAGACTAAGGAGATTCGATAGCATCGAGGCATATTCATATCAACGTAGGAAGCAAATTCCACTATAAGTCCTTAAATGACCTCAAAACAAAATATTCACCAACTTTTCGATTGAAAGTCATACTTCTCATTAAACCCAAGAATGAATTTTGCTGCCGAGGTGGCAATGTCTTTGCGTCCGAATCCGCACCTCCCCGATACGAATCTCGTTGGGTTAGCTGATGGTAAGATGAAGTCAAAAATGAAGTGCAGCCTGGCTGATAACGACATTTAGGTCAAATCAGCGCCAATGATTTCAATGCGGAAAAAGGCCTTCATTTAAATCTATTATAAATAGACTCGTTATCCAGTATTATAACAAAGTAGGGAAGTGTTGCCGGGACAGATCCATACATTCAACTAAAATTGTGAACCAACTCATGAGTTTTGCATACACGCAACGCACACGAAGCTAAGAAGCCAAAACAAGCCCCTGGGTTACAGGATCATACGCTAGTTTATTTGCATACAAAAGTTGTGACCACATCCGCTCCCCTTGCATCGCTTTACTCGCTTACATGCATGTAGGACAAGTAGAAAACAGCCAACAAAATTATGGAATCCCTCTCTAAGATCACAAGGTGAAGTATAAGAAGTAGGGTCTCAGCCGGCCGCCCTTCTTGGTTTAGTGTTTTTTGGTGATTGTTCGTTAATAATGGTTCCCGGCTCTGACGATGCTCTTCACGAAGGACGAGAGTTCAGCACAAAATCATCTGGGTCTTAGAACGATGAGCCGAGGGCTGCTTTGCGCAATTCAATAGACAAAAGTCCAAGGCAACCCTCCTTCGGTATCCGATGCGACTAATTTAAGAATCTCTTCCACCCGCCTTCTCAAACAAAATTTAAGGTATGCTAATATGACCAGTTTTTGTTTTAACTGTAAAGATTATAACCATGATGAATTAGCCAGAACCCTCTTTTTTGCAATTACTTTCACATTTACATTAAAATAAATAGCCTGCTGGAATGAGATTTCCTAGCTTCATCAATTCCGACAAGATTTAAACTCTGTGTGTGCTATATAAGTGACAAACACGTAAGAAAATTTTTTAGCTGGGCTGACTTCGTTTTCGCAACTTGGTCGTTTCGTTAGGGCAACTTAGTTGGACCCACCTTGCCCAAAATCTTCTGCTATAGTAGTTATCATAATTCCCAGCGTCGGAGCGTGGACTTGGTACATTCCCAGAAGTTTCGCCGGCGTCGCAGTCGGCATCGTCAATGAATCTTGCCATTCTCAGCACCAAGCTACCACTCATCAAAGAGACAAGTGAAGTCGATTCCTTGACTATCTGCCGAAACAGTTGTGCTATCACTCCACTTTCTGTCCTAGCCCAACTATCCACTCCCTACCTTCTTGTATCATTCACACCCTATCACAACTTCTAACTTGTTTATATTCATCCTTCGGTGTGCCCTTTTTGGTGAGTTTAGCGTGACGTCAAACCTGCCACTCCTCCCTCTCGATTTGCTGATCTGAACTTGACCTATCCGGATCTCGCTCATATGCTAGTAGATCCGTTTCTTATCTTTCTAGTTGACAGATTTAACTCGATTAAAGCCCCAGTGCACGTTCTACGTCAGGCCAGAGGGATCGACTTTACTTGTCTCTGACGAATAGTAGCTTGGTGCTGAGAATGGAAAGACCTACTAGAGATGCCGACTACGATGCCGGCGAAATGTCTAGGAATGTATCAAGCCCACGGTCCGACGCTGGAAATTATAACTACTATAACTGAGGATTTTGGGCAAGGTGTGCCCAACTAAGTCGCCCGAACAACATAACCAAATTGCGAAAACGAGGTCAGCCCACTCCTATACATCGAAAGGAGGCCGCGACCATACCAAAAATCATACCATCTTGATCTTCCTGTCTTACATTTTTTGAGACTAATGGCGAAGTAAGATTCGTTGTCACGAATCCAACAATAAATCAGTTGAAACTGGTTGCCTCAACAACAATCGATTTCATTTTAATTTCAAAACAGCAATAACAACAAAACATATTATCAAATACGTAATGTAAAACAATGGGTTGTCTTTCTCTAAGAATGATGTTAACGAAGAATGGATTGTTTTGTCTAGAAGCTCATGTTTGTCGTGTTGCATATTGCGGCTAGGATCGCATAGCTTAAAGTCTAGTGGGTTTGCCTATTGACTCGCACACCTCCGATTCAAGTCTTCTTGGGGGGACTAATGGAACGAAGGGGAGAGATCGAAACTGCTGTTCAGCCTGACTTATAGGGACCTTTTGAAATGTATAGCGAGTGAAATTAGATGAAGAATTAAGCATTCCCTACAATTCAGCAGGGGCAGGCTCCCTATCAGTCGACAAAAGGAAATACCTTTAGAGTAGCCGAATATGAACATTTCAGAAATTGTGATAAAAATAGAGGGAGATACGAGGATGAAGAGTAGGTAGATGTATCAGGACAGAAGGAGTGACAACACAGCCGTGTTGCAGGAAGTTGGTCAAAGTTGGATTGACTTCACTTGTCTCTTTGAAAAGTTGTAGAATAACAATACATATTGGCTAAACATCTGGCAATGTACTAATTCCACGGTCCGAGGCTGGGAATTAACATAGCTAATATAGCAGAGGACTTCGGACAAGGTATGTCCAATTAGCTCGTCCTGACAACGCGGCCAAATGGCGAGAACCAGGTAAAACCACTTCACCATGGGTTTGCTGACGGTTTTCTTGTGTCGGGCGAAATCCTAAGGGATCAATAAAAAAATGAGTGAAAAGAGAGAATTGGTATCAATTTTAGACAGTTAAATAATGCACCGATGGCTACTATAATATTTTAAAGTTAGCATTCCCATCCTATATAATAATGTTACTTTGGTAATGATAGAGATGCTATACTGTCCTTAACCTAAACGTCATTTCTCCATTCTCCATGGAGCTCATCTTTATTAATTTCTGCTTTCTCTTGATCGCCTGGAAACCCCCCTGAAGAATCCTTTGATGCCGACTCCTCGGGCCGACTTAGCACCTCCTCGATGTCAGCCGGACGATTTCCAGCACCACCGGTCGAGTATAACGTGCGTAGCAGCTTAAAGCCCCTTGGACCTGCTCCTCTGCAGCGTCGGCAATCAGCTCTTCTGCCTCGATCCTCCACGGTGGGAAACGCCTCTGTTGCCGAGCTGAGAAACGCCTTGCTCAAGCGGGCTTCTGGAGCTGCAGGCATGGACCCCCTAGCTAGGGATAGTAAGACTATTTTCCTTCCATCTTTACCGTTTCTCCTTGCTATTTGACTTATATCATCTCGGTCAGTATTGCAGTCCTAAAGTTTACACGAGGTCAATTGAAAATGGCTTTTAGGTTTTTATACAATTTGAATGGGGCATATGTGTGTTCCCCAGTAAGAAATGGGTTGCAGTTAATATTCATAAAGTGGTCTCGAAGCCACCCGTGGAATGGTAATATAAGAATAAGAACTTGAGTCCCACAATTACATGAATAGGATGATGTAGGAGAGCATGGTATGCAACGGCAGAAGCCTGTCATAACAAGGAAGAGAGGGCTACGGACATGTCACTAAGTCGGGAGTTCTTATTGCTTAAAAGCTTGTATGATTTCAAGGTCGACTCCTGATTGGTTTGAGAGGTCCCGATCTGATAAGCCCAAAATTAGGCTCAATGTAGTGGCGAAATTCGATTGGTCTGTAAGACAAAGCAGTGCGTACACTCACAAATGATTCTGTGTACGAATGATCTCAAGTCTAGATTAAGGAAGTATCTAGGTGGGGTTCTGCCTTTGGATGATTTTCAAAAAAAAAACTCCAGAGCATGACACACCAGAAGTCACAGAGGGTTCGGGATCTGATAAATAAGAG